CAAGTGACTACTGAATACCTAAAATGTGGCTAGTCGGAATTGAGGTGTTCTATAAGAGATAAAATTGATACATTGGACTGCATTAAAATTAGAAACCTCTGATCATTAAAGACATAATGAAGAGAATGAAAAACAAGCTGTAGAGTAAAAGAAACAAGCTTGTATCCAGGATATAAAAAGAACCCCCCCCCACCAAAAAAAAAGAAAAAAGAGCCAAATAGAAAAATGGACAGAAGATTTGAACACAAAAAGATATCACAAAAGAGGATATCTAAATGGTAAATACACATATGAAAAAGTGTTCAACTTCCTTAATCATTAATGGTTAGGCAAATGATTACTGAGATATACAAGCTCCAGAATTGCTTAAGTGAAAAAGACTGGCAACATTAAGTGTTGACAAGGAAGCAAAGCAACAGCAACTCACACACTGTGGTAGGAATGTAAATTGCTACAGCCATCTTGGAAAACAAATTGGTGTTAATTAATAAATTATAATATAAACATAACCTATTATCCAGCAATTCTAATTCTAGGTATATACCCCCCAAATTCATGTACAAAGTTGCACACAAGAATATTGGCCCTGCCCGTAGCTTAGTTTTTAGAGCATTGTCCCCATACACTAAGGTTTCGGGTTCAATCCCTGGTCAGGACACATACAAGAATCAACTAATGGCCCTGGCCCGTGTGGCTAAGTGGTTGGAGCATCAGCCCATGCACTGAAGGGCCTCAGGTTTTATTCCCAGTCAAGGGCATTTACCTGGGTTGCAGGCTTGCTTACCACCTCTGGTCAGGGCGTATGCGGAAGGCAGTCAGTAGCAACCAGTCTATGTGTGTCTCTCTCTCTCCCCCTCCCTTCCTCCCTTCCACTCTGAAAAAGTAATGGAAAAAATATCCTCAGGTGATGTTTTTTGAATAACAAGAATCAACCAATGAATGCATAAATAAATAGAAGCACAAATCGATGTTTCTCTCTCCCTTCCTCTCTCTAAAAACAATCAATCAATAAAAATTTTTAAAAGAATATTAACAGCATCATTATTTGTAACAGGCACAATATGGAAACATCCCAAATGCCCATTACCAATAGAATAAATACACTGCAGTATATTCCTCCAACAGAACACTACAGAGCATTGAAAAATGAACCACTACGTACAGCAACATGAATATATCTCACAAACATGTTAAACAAAAGAAGCCAAATATAAAAACACTTTATGACTCCATTTATATAAATTTCCAAAACTAATCTATGAATTTAGAACTCAGAAAGTGGTTAATTACCTTCGGGGATGGGGAGGGGCACTGATTGATGGGGGTGCTTCTGTGGAGCTGGAAACAGGTTTTTTTTTTTCTTGATTTGATTGTGGTTACACAGGTGGGTTTGTTTTGTGATATTTAATTGAACTGCCACACTTAGTATCTGTCCACTTTTCTGGATGTATATTATACTTCAATTTAAATATTTACTTTAAAAAAATGTGCTCTGGGGAGTCCAGATGTCCTAAAAATCCCATGTCTCTCTGGCCCTTCCTGTCATTTTCTATACCACAGCCCGAGTGACATTTCCAAAAGATGCAGTAAACATTAGACACAATAAATGAAGTAAATACAAGCTACTCTGACTAATTTAACGTGAACTATTAGTTATAACTCAGAAAAGGAACCTAGGCCTCTTTGTCGACTCCTTCCTGAAGTCACTGGCACCCAATGTTCCCTTAGGGACAAAAAGATCAACAAATAGTGAGGCTCTTAAAGAAGGATTTTGAAATGAGATAGCAAGACACTGTCTTATTCTTGTGTAAAACTCCAAAGCATCTTCACTGTGCCCTAAGCCTCCCAAAATATATAGTAAGAAACTACAAAAGGTCCAGGAAAAGGCAACTCGGATAACAACAGACAGAATGGACAATAATAAAGCCTTTTCCTAATCCACTCATCTGGTGATGGGCACTTAGGCTGTTTCCAGATCTTAGCTATGGTGAATTGTGCTGCTATGAACATAGGGATGCATATATCCTTTCTGATTGGTGTTTCTAGCTTCTTGGGATATATTCCTAGAAGTGGGATCACTGGGTCAAATGGGAGTTCCATTTTTAGTTTTTTGAGGAAACTCCATACTGTTCTCCACAGTGGCTGTACCAGTCTGCATTCCCACCAGCAGTGCAAAAGGGTTCCTTTTTCTCCACATCCTCTCCAACACTTGTTGTTTGTTGATTTGTTGATGATAGCCATTCTGACAGGTGTGAGATGATACCGCACTGTCGTTTTTGATTTGCATTGTGGCACATCTACACAATGGAATACTACACTTCGGTAAAAAAGAAGGAGTTCTTACCATTTGCAACAGCATGGGTGGAACTGGAGAGCATTATGCTAAGTAAAATAAGCCAGTCAGAGAAAGATAAATACCACATGATCTCACTCATTTGTGGAATATAGTGGACAACATAGGCTGATGAAAAGGGATAGATCCAGAGACAGAGAAGCAGCGATAAGACTGTCAAACCTCAGAGGGAAAGTAGGGGAGGGTGGGGGTAAGGGGGAGAGATCAACCAAAGGACTTGTAGGCATGCATATAAGCCCAACCAATGGACACAGACAACAGGGGGGCAAGGGCATGAGTGGGGGTGGGGGGTTTATGGGGGGAATGAAGTCACATATGTAATACCTTAATCAATAAAGAAATTAAAGATTGAAAAATAAATAAATAAATAAATAAAAAGCAAAAATAAAAAAATAAAGCCTTTTCCTTCCATCTCAAGGGTTACAAAAAAGGCATGAACACAAGACCACAGGCAGTGTAAAACTAATTATACCTTACATTAGCATTGTTTTTTGTTTTGTTTTGACATTTTGTTTTGTTTTAATATTTTTATTGTTTTTTAAAGAAAGAGGAAGGGGGGAAAATCTATTCATAATTGGTTGCCTTCTGCATGTCCCCTACTAGGGATTGAGCCCAAAACCCGGGCATGGGCCCTGATGGGAATGGAACTGGCAACCATATGGTGCACAGAGGACACCCAACCAACTGAGCTACACTGGCCAGGGCTAAAACAATGGTTTACGGCCATTATGCATCCAGTGAAACCTGAGCACCCTATGCTCAGTGCTTTGTGAGGAGGGCATCAAGATGCAGGAAGGCCAGTTCCTCTCTCACGGAACTCACTGTCTAGTTTGATCTTTACACCCTGTATAACCTTATTCCTACTTGACAATTACGGAAACTAGGATTGAACTGTGGTTAGGGGCACAGGCTCACAGCTGTGGTACTTTGAGCAAGTTATTAATCTGTTTTCTCAAAGTAAAAAGGGAATAAATAGTAATATCTACCTCATAAGGTTTAAAAATATTTTTATTGATTTCAGAGAGGAAAGGAGAGAGAGAGAGAAAAACATCAATGATAAGAGAGAATCATTGATAAGTTGCCCCCTGCACACCCCACACCGGTGATCAAGCCTGCAAGCTGGGCATGTGACTGACGCTCAACCACTTAGCCACACCATCTGGGCATATCTCAGAGGGTTTTCAATATTAAATACTGTCAAAAGTTCAGAAATACTAGAAGTAAAACCACTGGATCAATGACATAATAATTAGCAAAAAAATGTATTGTGCACACACAAAAAACCAGTTGGCAAACTGGGAGCACTCAAATCAAACACAGAATGAGGTTCAGAAATACGTGGTTACAAAGCAGCTTACAAATAGATCCAGAGACATAGAAGCATGGAACAGACTGTCCAATCTCAAAGGGAAGGCGGGGGTGGGTGGGAAGAGAGCAAAGAACTTGTATGCATATATGCATAACCTATGGACACAGACTATAGTGTGGTGAAGGCCTGGAGGGTAGAGGCGGGCTAGAAGGGGTCACTGGGGAAAAATAGGAGACATATGTAATACCTTCAACAATAAAGATTAAATAAGTAATAAAGCAGCTTACATATTGAGGAGGCAATGGCTGTTGATTCTTCACAGTGATTGGTTATAAAATTAGAGTTTTCCTAGTGACAGAGAATGGGTTAAAAGTTAGCTTACATCAATTTTGGGGAACAGTTTAAGTTCTGTTTATGATTTTCAGAGGCATTAACAAGAACTGGCCTAAGTTTTGCTTGTATGACTAAACTGGTGTGTCTGCTCAGGGAATTTTCAAGTCTGGTCTCCATCTGTGTTGGATTTTAACGATGTTTAAAGTACCCAAAAGTGCTTAGCCCCAGGCTGGCACAAAGTAAGCATTCATTTAGCCATCGTTATTAAGGGCTGTGCAGAGCATTTACCATCTGTTTATGTACCCCATTTATTTCTTGTCCTCTATCCAAACTTCCCTGCAGTGCCTCTCCTTTGCTTCTCCACCTTTGACCCTGAGCAAACCCTCCTAACACCTTTGGGGTGCCGTCTATCCCAGCAGGCCACTCTAGGCCTTGCTCGAGCCCTGACCTCTTTGATCTTCATTGGGCTTTCGCCCTTTCCTTATCTCTCATTTTCTTCCAGGCCCTTCCCTCTCTCTCTCCAGACTCTCAGCCTTTGGAGTTTGGAGGCTCGGATTTGCTCTATGTCGTTAGACTAGTGGTTCTCAACCTTGGCTGCACATAAAATCCTGGGATTTTAAAAACATTTCCAGGTGAATCTAATGTGCAGTCAAGGTTGAGAACCACTGCTTTTAGACAAATAAGCAAATCATCTAACTGTTGAATCTCAGTTTTCACATATGAAAAACGAGAATAACAGTACCTACTTCATAGCAGATAAGTTAATAAAGTGTGATTGCTATGGAAATTGTACGGAGCCTTATCAAAGCTAGTTCTGGCATCTCTCACCTCTATTCCCTTTCATTCTCTTCCTCTTTTAGTCCCTGCCTTATTGTGGGACCAGGAAATTCTTGGAATTGAAAGTTAGGACAGAACTCCAATCGGAGCGAAGATTTGCCGGTTGTTCCCGCCTCCCACGCCTAGACGAACCAATCAGAGCGTCCGAAGAGTGGCGCGAGGCCCCCGCCGCGGGAGCGCGCCCTCTCCTCCGGGCTGCGGCCGGCAGGCCTGCTTTCGCCTCGCACCCAGGCCGCCGGGCTTTGGAGGTGGGGTCCTTCCTCTTCCTTTTCTCAACGCTTCAAATCTTGGCGCCGCAGGTTTGAACCGCGGGGACCGGAAGTGTGCCCCGCACCGGCGGGTCCCCCGCGAATCGACGCCGGAAGTGGCAACTGCTGGGGAAAGATTCCGCCGGCTCCGCTATGGCGGCCATTCCCCCCGACTCCTGGCAGCCGCCCAACGTCTACTTGGAGACCAGGTGAGGGGGTCGCCTCGGGGCGGGGCTGGCTGAGGCGACTCGGAGCCCGGGCTTGTCTGCGGGGCTCCCTCCCCGGCCGGCTCTCCCTCCTCGTGGAGCGGCGGCCCGAGGGCAGGTGTGGACCGTCGCTGTCCTCGTGGAGCGGCGGCCGCCACCCGTGCTCCGTTCATTCATCCCTTCCTTCAGGCCGGGGATGTAGGATCTGGCACCTGAGGAGACAGGTGGATGAAACACGCAGCCGTGCCTTTAGGGGCAGACAGTATAGTGAAGGAGACAGCTGTGCAAATGTGGACGGGATGGCCCTGGCTGGTTTGGCTCAGTGGATAGAACGTTGGCCTGCGGACTGAAGGGTCCCAGGTTCATTTCCGGCCAAGGGCACATGCCTGGGTTGCAGGCTCGATCCCCAGTGGGGGGCGTGCTGGAGGCAGCCCATCAGTGATTCTCATCATGGATGTTTCTCTCTCTCTCTCTCCCCCCCTCTCCCTTCCTCTCTGAAATCAGAAATATATTTAAAAAAATAAATGGACGGGATGAGCGTCTACAGTGTTAAACAGGAAGAAGCACATTTGCTCCACCATCAAAAGCACATTTGCTCCACCATCAAATGTGATACAGCGGAGCCCCAGCCAGCTAGTGCCCTGCCCCCGGTGCAGACAGAGCATCAATTAGTTTAATCCTCCTAGCAGCTCAGGCCCTGCAGGTATTACTCCACCTTCTCTCCTCCAGCTTTAGCAGGGACATGCCGGAGCTCACAGGTTAAATGGCGTGGCCTCATTTGGAGCCTGGTATGTCCGCCTCCCATGCTAGGTTCCCTGGCCTCATTCATTCCATTGCTTCTTTGGAAAAAGTCCAGAGCGATCTTTCCAGAGTAGGACACATTACCGGACATGACTTCTTACTGCTGCAGCACCCTAATAGTAAAACGTCGTAGTCTGACATTCAAGGTGATGTTTTTCCTCTGGCCTTCTCCTACCTCTGGCTATACTTTCCAGTCCCCCATCCGTAGCCAGGGTCCAGCCTCATCCCTCTGCCTTCCTTCTGCTCTTGTCTGTGCTGCTTTCCACCAGAGCACAGTTCTCTCAGATGCTGCTTTTGCTCCCAGGCCATTTCCCCCACCTTCTTATCTGGCAAAATTCTTCAGATACCAACTTGAAAGTAATTTTTGAACTCAGCTGTTAACATTTTTTTTAAACTATAAAATAAATCTAAATGTAAATCCAGGCAGTGTAGAAGTGTATAGAAAAAGCAGTGAAAGCCACCTCTCATGTAAAAACACTTTTAAAAATGTGTTTATTGATTTTTAGAGAGAAGAAGGAAGAGGGATAGAGAGAAACATCATCCATTGGCTGCCTTCTGCACACCCCCTACTGGGCTCGGAACCCGGGCATGTGCCCTGACCAGGAATCAAACCGGTGACTTCTTGGTTCATGGTTGACACTCAACCACTGGGCCACACTGGCCAGGCTAAAAACATTTTTAATAGTTTGTTGAATGATCTTCTGGACCTTTTCACATAAACATCTCTCTTTTATGTTCTATTTTTTTTTGACAAAAATAAGATCATATGCTCATACTGTGTGTATGTTTCTTTTTCTGTAATTTGCTTTTCTTTCACTCACTAATATATGCAGTCTTCCATAGTATGAATGTCTCATATTTTAGTCATTCCCTCTCTGAAGGTCATCCAAATTGCTTCTTGTGTTTTGTTATGACAAATGTCGGAATGAACATCCTTGCACAATTGTATCCTTAAGAACTTCAGTCATTTTTTTCTATAGAGTAGATACTTAGTTGAAATTGCTGTCAAGAAGTATGCACATTTCAGTATTGTATAGGTACTTCCTGATTGCCATTCTAAAGTTATTATCTGTATTTAAAAAAATACCCACCGGCATGTAAGCTCCATGAAGGGAAAGCACCTAGATCCGTGCCCTGCCCAGAGTAATTGTTAATCTGTGCTGAATATTAGTAACGTGAAGGGTGAATTGCCAGCAGAAAGCTATGTGCTGGCTCTTACCACATATACAGCAGGTCCTCGAATAAAGGTTCCTTTCAGTGTCCTTCCGTGATATCGATGAGGGGAAAAAATTGCTATCCAAGGCCACTGTCTCTGGAGTTTGCATGTGCTCCCCATGTCTGCATGGGTGTTTTCCCAGGTACTCACATCCCAAAGATGTGCGCATTATTGAATGAGCATGTCTCAATGGTCCTAGTCTGAACGAGTGTATGTGTGTGCGCGCAAGTGTGCCCTGGATGGAAGGGTATCCTGTCCAGTTTGGTTCCCACCTTGTGCCCTGAGCTTCTGGGATAAGGCTCCAGCCACCCTAGACCCTGAACTTGAATAAGCAGCCTGGAAAATAATTATTTTAACTTGTTTTTATTAGTCTTTCTTATGTGAATGTATAGCTCACATTTATTTCAATGTAAAGTATTAGAAGTGTTTGGGTCTTTTTTAAAGAAATTTGATGATGTTCTTATGATCAGAAGTATGCCACAGGGACTTACCTCTTATTTGTATCCGCTAGCCTCTGGTAAAATTTATTTCATTATACATTCTTTCCCTAAAAGTCAGTTTCCAAGAACCTATCTACAGTATAAAGTGTTTACTTCAGCGGTTCTCAACCTGTGGGTCGCGACCCCTTTGGGGGTCGAACAACCCTTTCACAGGGGTCGCCTAAGACCATCGGAAAACACATATAATTACATATTGTTTTTGTGATTAATCACTATGCTTTAATTATGTTCAATTTGTAACAATGAAAATACATCCTGCATATCAGATATTTACATTACAATTCATAACAGTAGCAAAATTACAGTTATGAAGTAGCCACAAAAATAATTTTGTGGTTGGGGGTCACCACAACATGAGGAACTATATTAAAGGGTCGCGGCATTAGGAAGGTTGAGAACCACTGGTTTACTTGCAGTGTGCTTGGCACTGGGTATTCAGTCCGCACAGAGTTGACCCCGTTCTCACATTCCTGGAGTTTAAAGTCTAGGTGAGAGATGGAGAGGGGAAGGCACCTGGCCTCCATCTTTTCCTTCTTCCTTTTCCTTGGCAGTACTTCAGCGGGGGAGGGCTCATCACATTCGGTAGGTATAAAGGTTTGAAGTCATCAGGTTTTGCCTTTGTTGCAGCCCCTCCTAAATACACACAAACTGTACCTTTTTCCCCCCATTAAAGTATTTATGAGTAGGTACTGTATTTCCATGGTTCAAAAATATAAAGTTTAAAAAAGATATTCATTGACAACCTTCCTGTCTCCTATTTACCCAGTTTCCACCCCACCCAGAAACTTATACACGTATAAATAAATATGAATTCCTGATACTTTAATGTCTTCCTTTAAAAAAATTATAAATTAAGTGTAAGACTTTTTTTTTTCTAATTTGGGGGTTGGTTATATTAATTTCTGGTAATCAGTAATAAATTTTTAATATATAAGGTGTTAACACTTTAGTTGTCCACGGTTGTGTTCATGTTATTTGCCTTGCGTTGTTTTCCTTGGTGAGCATGGAGTCTGATGTTGATCACAGTTTCATGGCTCACAAGTTTGAAAATGCAGAGTCCTGGAGCAGTCCATGTCATTCCTATCTGCTGTGACCTTGTTCTTGACTGGAGCTCTCCCGCCCTCTTCCGTCTGCAGCATGGGGACCATCGTGCTGGAGCTGTACTGGAAGCATGCTCCAAAGACCTGCAAGAACTTTGCTGAGTTGGCTCGTCGAGGTTACTACAATGGCACTAAATTCCACAGAATCATCAAAGACTTCATGGTCCAGGGAGGTGACCCAACAGGGACAGGTACAGTTAAGCCAGCATTAGTTTCTGAAGTTTCATTCTGTTGTAACTGATGTGAGGCAGCCGGGCTCTGTTCCACGTGCCGGGGACTGGGTTAGTGATTCGGGTGACTATTGCTGTCCTGCTAGCACACACCCTCCCCAAACACATGTGGGGAATTGACCAGAAACTAATCTGGACTCTGGGCTTTATAGAGTTTCTCATAACTTCCATGTATTGCTTACTAAGAGCAAATAATATTATAGTAATGTATAGTGTAATCTACTAATTAGAAGTAAAGGAAGACATTTTCAGTGTTGTGAGAAAAATAGAATACTGGGTTGTTTGATTAATTTGTTCATATTGAACACCTGCTTTGTGCCAGATACTTTTCTAAGCTCTTGTGTAGCCATGAACAAAGAAAAAAAGTTGCTCTCAATAAAGCAGGAAAAGGATGTGGGGATGTGATTTTAATAGCAAAGCCAGGGAAGTCCTCTCTGAGTAGATGCTATTAATGGAGCAGAGAACTGAATGAAGTGAGGGAATGAACTTTATGACTGGAGGAAAGAGTAGGACCAGATGCCCTGAGGCAGGACCCCTGAGTGTGATCATGTAGGATTTTGTAGGGCATGGTACAGACTGGATTATATTCTGAACTAGAGGCCTGGTGCACGAAATCTGTACAGGGGGGGGGGGGGGGTGTCCCCCTCAGCCCGGCCTGTGCCTCTCGTAGTCCAGGAGCCCTTGGGGAATGTATGACTGACGGCTTAGGCCCGCTCCCCACCATTAGTGCTGCCGCGGAGGCAGGAGAGGCTCCTGCCACCACCACTGCACTCGCCAGCTGTGAGCTTGGCTTCTGGCTGAGCTGCGCTCCCCCTGTGGGAGCGCACTGACCACCAGGGGGCAGCTCCTGCATTGACCATCTGCCCCCTGGTGGTCAGTGTGCATCATAGCAACTGGGTTCTGTGGTTCGGTCGATTTGCATATTAGCCTTTTATTATATAGGATAAGATGGGAGCCATTAGAAAGTTGTGAGCAAAGGAATGACATGATCTGATGAATGCTTTAAAATGCTCACTCTGGCTGCTGTTTGGAGAACAGATAAAGGGGCAAGAATGAGAGCTGGGAACCTGTTAGAGGGCTGCTGTAGTCATCCAGTCTAGAAAAATATGTGGTTGGACAAGGCTGGTAGTGGAGAAGGTGGTGAGAAGTGACTGGATTGAGGTTATGCTTTGATGGAAATAGAGCAAATGATATTTACTAAGGTTGGATTAGGGGGTGGGTGTGTGAGAGAAAGAGATGATGATTTCAAAGTTTTTTACTAGTATTTAGTAAAGTGGGGAAGGCTAAGACAGAAGCATGTTTGGAGGGGGAAGATTAAGAATTTGGTTTTGGGCCGAACCGGTTTGGCTCAGTGGATAGAGTGTCGGCCTGCAGACTGAAAGGTCCCAGGTTCGATTCCGGTCAAGGGCATGTACCTTGGTTGTGGGCACATCCCCAGTAGGAGGTGTGCAGGAGGCAGCTGATCGATGCTTCTCTCTCATCGATGTTTCTAACTCTCTATTTCTCTCCCTTCCTCTCTGTAAAAAATCAATAAAATATATTTAAAAAAAAAAAAAAAAGAATTTGGTTTTGGTTTTGGACACATTAAGTAGAGATGTTGAATAAGTAATAGGATAAGAGTGGGAGTTCATGGAAAGTTCTGGAATTGAGGTATGAATTTGAGAGTTATCATCATTTAAATGGGATTTATTAGCACCAATCTATGATCCAGGATGTTGGGGTTCGATTCCCAGTCAGGATACATGCCTGGGAGATAGATTATATATATATATATATATATATATATATATATATATATATGGAATAGCCTGGCTGGTGTGGCTCACTGGTTGAATGTCAACCCATGAACCAGGAGGCCATGGTTTGATTCCCAGTCAGGGCACATGCCTGGGTTGTGAGCTTGATCCCCAGTAGGGGGCGTGCAGGAGGCAGCCAATTGATGTTTCTCTCATCGATGTTTCTATCTTGCTATCCCTCTCCCTTCCTCTCTTTCTAAAAATCAATATATTTTAAAAAATATATAGAATATATAGGAAAGTAGAAAAAAAGAACAAAAATTACTCTGAAGTATACCTCCTAAAGATTCCTAACCACATTTAACTGTTTCCCCAATATCTCACCTCTCAGTAATCATCAGTGTTAACTTTTGGTGGCCATTCTAGACATCTTTCTTTTCAGATACCTAGTTAAAAGGATGAGTGGATGAATAACTAGCTAAATGGGAATAATTTAGAGATTAGGCTATGTCCTGCATGCTATTGCTTTTTACCCAAAAGGTATTGTATTTAATTTTGTATACATTTAACAGAAAAATTGACTTCCTGCTGTGAGAGATGAGGCAATTAGTACTTAAATTTCTACCCGCCCCTGTCGTTTAGGAAAAGCTCAGTTTTGCATATGCATACCTCCTGTGTTGGGAAAAACCCAATCCTTCCCTCCTGTTTCTCCTTTGCTTTTACATATTCACACAGAACACTTCACTCTGACACTTGTGTCGCCAAATATATAGTAATTTTCCTCACGACAAGTAATTCTCTGCGACACCAGCCAGGTGTCCTGCCATTTAACTTAATTCTGACACTGTCTACCTGGAGACCATGTCATATCCCACAGGTTAAGGGCTCAGTCCCACAAGACTGTCTCTCTCCCCACCCCCTCCCCAACACTCACACCCACACACACACACACACACACACTTCAGACCACAAGCCCAGGTACAAGTATCTACTTCAGACCAACTGGCTATAGATGGGAGATTCCAACGACACCCTCCTGCAGTTTGATTCCTTTGCCAGAGTGGCTTCTAGAACTTGGGGAAACACTTATGTTTACCCATTGTTGGAGGATAATGGTGAAGGATACAGATGAACAGCCCGATGAAGAGATGCATAGGGCGAGGTCTGGGAGGTCCCGAGTCCAGAGCTTCTGTCCCCGTGGAGGTGGAGTGTGCAGAGTGTGCCACCTTCCTGGTGTAGATATGTTCGCTCACCTAGAAGCTCTTCGAACCCTGTACAGGCATGACCCATGAACTCCATTTCCAGTCTCTCTCTCCTCTCCGGAGAAGTGGTGGTGGTGGTTCCTCGGGGCGGGGGGAGGGGGTCTTTCTGGTGACCCCATCAGGAGCCCACCCAGAGTCACATTAGAACTAAAGGTGCTCCTAGTGCTCTTACCACTTTTGAAGGGTTTTAGGCGCCCTGTGCCAAGAATCGGGAACAGAGACCAACTTATATATTTTCAGTGATCTCAGACCTATCCTCCCTCACTCCCAGTTTTTGTTGTTTTATTTTTCCTTGTCAGAGTTTATAGCATTTTCCATTCTACACCCACTTGGGTTCTGCATTTCAGAGGGTTCAGGGCTCACCTCTAGGCTCTTCTATTAACAAGTGCTAGCAGGTAGAATTTCTCGGCGAGCGGTTTTTATTGCAAGGGCCGGAGGCTGTTATATTTTTAACTAGGTCATGGTTGAGAATTTCTGCCTGTTGCCCTTATACTTGAAAAAGACCATGACTGGGTGTGCTCTTCCTGGGCTACACTCATTCCCTCAGATCTTTTTCTGAGGGAAATAGACATTCTGTTCCATCACCTTCAGATTTTGAACATGGCTTTGAAGAATACTGAGATCAGATTTACTTCTTCCTTCAATTCAGGGAAATTTTTTTGATTTATGTTTATGAATTTTTTCTGTTATACTTATTGGATTTTCTATTTCAGGAAACTAATTCTTTGCTTCATCACCTTTGCCATCACATTTCTTTTGAGAGTCTGAGATGATGTTTTTCCATATTTTTTGCATCCACTGAAATAATCTCACACCTTTATTCTGTCCCTTATTCAATTTTTAGTCATGTCTATTTTGTTCTTTCCTGCTCTGATTTATTTATTAGTGCTGTATTGGTGTCATTTGGTTCTAAATCTGTTTCCTTAGTTCTGCAACCTTTTCTGTTAATTTATTATCTTGTCTTTGAACTCGTTTTATTGGATTCTTATTGACGCATCGGTAGCTTGAGACAGCCACGGAGAAGCCCTTCTTGGATTATGTTTTCTCACAGACTGAGTTCCTGAGGTGGCCCAGGAACTCAGGGTCCCCCCACCCGCCAAGATGGCCAGTGCTGGTAGCCCACCCTGCCACTCCTGAGCACTTGTGGTGTGTGCGGCAGCCCATTCCTTAGCTTTTTCAGGGCTGCTCACCCACTTCCTCTGATGGCTTCTCAAAATTGCAGGATTTTCTAGGTGACACTCCTCCTTTCTTGATTAGGGAGTGCAAGCAGACAAGTTTTTCCTTGCTAACTCTTCAACATTTTTGGAGTAAGTTTGTTTCTTTTTTCTTATTTGGTTGATGCTGGTGAAATTTTTGCCTTTTAAGTTTGAATTTTTTGTGTGTTTGCTTCATCAGGTATTGGAGGGAAAAGGGTCCACATTCTTTATTTAAAAGTGTCCTGCCAACACTTTGATGTGCTTCTTTCAACAATTTCATTGTTGTTATGAGATTAAAAAAATATTTTTGGTAATCCTCGCCCAAGGATATTTTCCCATTGATTTTAGAGAGAGTGGAGGGGAAAGAGGGAGAGAGAATCATGGATGTGAGAGAGACACATCAATCGGGTCTAGGGACTGAACCTGCAACCCAGGTATGTGCCCTTGACCAGGAATTGAACCCCTCAACCCTTCTGTGTGCAGGCCAACACTCTAAATCACTAAGCAACACCAGCCAGAACATTATGAGATAAAATTTTAATTCATGTCAGCAGTGAACAGAGAGAGTCAATGATTAGGGTAAAAGAATGAGAAGTGACTCAGATGTGAGTTACTCATGCCAGAGCTTCCATATATTTCTGTAGTTCTCAGTCCTTCATAATGTCACATTTCCATGTTGTAACTTTAATGAAATTGAATAGCTCAAAAGATTTCCAAATAATTGCATCCAACCTCAAGTATAACAAATGATTGAGCTCAGCCTGCTG